GCGTCGGATCTGTACGAAACTCCAAAAAGCGACAAACTGTAACCTTCTGTGTAGGGCAAAACGGATTTCTTAAGAGCTTTTTCTACAGCAGCAGACGATGCGCGGCATCTAAGGTCTTTTTCCGTAATGGTAATGGAATGAAAACACTTTTCGAGACATCTGTTTAATTTCCAAACAAATGCTTATTAAAACAATTCTTGAGGTTTCGTAGTTCAACCGCTATCATTTCACTTCCGACATTTAATAGTCCTGTCGTTAACCGTTCCCACAAGCCATTCGTTTATTTACTGACCTCTTCATCTTAACGGCCTTGTTCGCTTCTGTCCCATATACGTTTCAAAGCCATTGACAATTATTTTTTCCTGCCCTACGCGGTGGAGAATATAAATAGCTAAAATAACTCAAACCAAAGACTGGTAATCGTGAATTCTTTCAAACTGGTTCGGACTTTATCCAATAAATTCACTACCTTTTTTCTTTTTGCACCATAGCTATTATTGTTAAAAACACAGCTGCGGTCGTTCTGAGATTGCTCGCTGACGGCGTAAAGTCAAAAAACGTCCTTCAAAAAAATTGTGCCTCGGCATTATTACTCTTATTATCGTTGCTGTCACTATTGCATATAAACATGTAATACGGTTCGAAACCTAAAAGGGCCACGGCCATGATTTGACATACAACACTCCGCTTTTTCGGACATACGTCCATGCCTGTAAGGGAGCAGGAGACTATATACCTAAGATTAATTCATTTTTCTAATATTAAAACTTATCTAATGTCAGCTTTGTTTGAATTCGTTTTACTTGTATGTCTGGATCCACGTTAATTAGTACCGTGGCCTTTACGTAGTTATTGATATTTTGTCCACAATAATTTGGCTATTTCGTCGTGTGGAAGCTTATTCTTTTTTTCCTTTTTGACGACTTTATCGATCCGTTTCCAACACGTCCTCATCCAGAATCCCAACTTCAAACTTCTTTATGTATGTGTTTTTATACGTGCAGCCGTGTTTTCAGCTTCTACATTGGACTTTTTAGTCCTTTGTCAAGTTTCGTTTTACAAACAATCCTAAATAAATATCAGTTTGTTTTGGTTGTCACCTAACCAATAAACTAAAATAAGATACTTTTACAAATTTTAGTCCAGCTTGTGTTCCGATCTTTGAATAACAGCTCAAAGGCAACGAATCCATGTTGGCAAACCCGAAATTCCTACGTTCAAGGCAGAGGGGCTTTTCAGTCTGTATTTGGAAGGGACGTTTCTCTATTTTGAAAAAAATTCGCTTTTTAGCCGCCACTTGTGCTTTAAATTGACTCCAGTTTTGTGACACTTCTGTGTATCCATGTCAAAAATTCTTACAGCAGCCTTGGTGGACACCGGGCTCTCTTCACTCGACGTTACAGGTTCGCGTGTGGCTACGCCTCGATACGCTGGATTTATCGTCAAATTGATGCGTGACGGCATGTAACGGTATTCGGACGTACACATTTAGATTATACAGAACGATTGGTAAGGCCCCGTTCCTTTATCCGGCAGGTGTCCCTTGACAGTGGACGGCCAAAAGCTGAAATAAGCTCCACCAAGAATTATAGCAATTGAAAAAGACAGTCACTTTTTTATAATGATAGTCATTCGACTTCAGTCAACCGAGGTTTTTCAAAGTTTCACGGGAAAAATATGCCAGCAGTGCGCTAAACATATAATATTCGATTTAGATCTATTGAACCTACGTAGATTTCATACGATTTCCTGAAATCAGCCTCAAAATCCTGTATACGTATCTTGGCAAAATAGAAGTTCTGCACTCAAGTTGTTACATACAACTGATTGCGAGGACTACGAAAGGTGCTTTTGTGATGCTATGACTGTGAAAGCGACACGGACTGTTTGCAACGATACTTCTAGTCAATTATTCTGATACACATAAACTTCTGCATCATGAACAAGATGCTTCATCTGCGGCTATTGCTGTTATTATTATTGCCCCCTTCGTTGAACGGAACACCTTTGTACCGAAGATAACAAATTCATCCATATAAACTAAGTCCAATACCACTCGCATATGATAATTTGCCTAATTGATTAATTTGTGATTTGCTACAATTAATTGCAGTGCCTAGGCGACTTAAAGCAAAGGGCTTCATGACGACCTTTTTATAGCGCCCAACTTTGCCTTGCTGCCGGTTACCAATAACTCAGCATAGTTTTTCATGTTTGTTGATCGAGGATAGATATTAAGGTAAGATTTTGAGTTTTCTGACCCAATAACTAGTCTGTACTAATACCTAATTGGACCTCTCGGTGATAGCTTGACTGTTTATATATATATATATATATACACACGCCTCTATCCAACCCCTTTGCACATCATTAAGGCGCCTGTTAAATGTAAATTGTGCGCGTTATGTCGCTCAAGTTTAGATAGAAAGTCCTCTGTAGCACTATGATTGATACGTCCAGTCAATGGCATGTTTTTAGCGCTTAGTTTCCTTTGATTTCGATCACTGCAAACAGTTAGGGATGGTGCTTTTACCGCTGAACATACAAAGCATATTGACCTCTTTCATTGAAGCCTAGTCGAAACTGTAACTGGTAGAGGAAGCTTGCTCTAAAATTTCGATTAGAACTTAACCACAGATTTCTCCTACTCTAGTTTTGCAGTTAATAAGTTAATCGCGTCGTGCCCTTTTTGGTGTGACATGTTTCGCCATGTAAAAGTGACAGCCACTTTAACTTTTTAAAAACTACTAGTTCAAGTACGAGGTTAAACTAACGATCTTACCCTACTACGGTTGAAGGCGCTGTTTCACCTATTTCCAGTTATCAATGAGTGCGACTTGCCCTTGAGCGTCGTTCCCAAAACTGGTGAGCGGAAAGAGGACTAATGTTAGTAAACAAACATGTTCACCAGGTAGAGTTTTAGCCACGGGAGGAGGAGGAGGAAATACGCTTTCAGACGAAGAGTTCAGATTTGGAAACACGTCTGTTATTCAAGACGACGTATGCGTTTTGCAAAACGAGAGAAAAAAGAGACCATCTACCCTGCCAATTGGGCAGCCAAGTTTTATCCAGTAATTTTAGTGGGGTACAAGACGAAGGCCTCAGTGGTGAAGCCTGATCTATATAATGCATAGGCCCTTAGCCTCCTTAAAACAATATACATACAACAGTGTTCACCTTTCACTTTGGAGGTGGCGTAATTTCAAAAATCAACAACCTCTGATTTGAGTCGTCGCCGTTCAACGTACGTAGACTGAAGTGAAATTTGAACGTAGACTCACAGCGGGAAAACATGTGAGCTTAGAAATGGCAAAAATGGACTTTGTCATTAAAAAAAGGATATATATATATATATATATATATATATAATTTAACCAAGAAAAGGTCACGATTCACGTCCGCAAACTACAAACATACAGTTTATCTAAAAACAAACACAAAATAACATTTTCCAAGGCAATTATTATAGTTCTGTCAGAGAAAATACTGCTTGGGATAAACGTTTGTTGACCCTGATTGGAGCGCCCAGCTACAGATTGAAAGCTGACCATCACCCGCTTATCGAAGGCTTTAAACCGTTATATCCGATAATGCTTAGGTTGTGGAATCACGTTCCTATTCAGTGTTTAATGTCTTTGGCACTTCACATGGTTTCCAGGCTATTGGGGTATAACGCATTTCCATTATAGGTGATCTTGTTCTTGCGAGATAATTTGTAAATAGCACAGTACTTTACAGTAGAACAGCACCGTCTGAGACCTTAGCATTAATTAAATATATACGAACCTCTACAGTGTGCTATAACATGAAACATCTATGAGTTCATTTTGAAGATATTTAACAATAGAACAAAGGAGACATTGTACTTATTTGAATACGCATTTACTTAAGGTTACTGATTTTGACATTTTGTTTGTTTTGGTGTATTTTGTCGGTGAGGGGATGCATTTTCTATTACTTACACTTGGATTTACTCTAGAGCAGAGTCTGTTGGCATCCGTCAAATTTTTCGAACAGTTTGGTACCTAAACATGACCCAAACCGTCCCAAGAAGATTCGCTCTTAGAATACGTACAGATATACAGTGATGTAAATATTAGGCGATTTTAGGATGAAAGGGACGTAGCCTAAAATCTTGTAGAACACTTTTAGCTAGCACAAATCATAAAGAAAAGTTCGCATTGGATCGCTAAGTCACGTGAGATGTCAAATATGAAAGGTCTGAAAAATATTCCATTGGTGGACTCAATCTACAAACAAAAAGAACTGAACATGAACTCAGAACTGTCCTAACAGCTGGCCAATAAATCACCCATTAATTACCTTAAATAAAATGATCTATATAAATAATTTTACAGTAAATACTAAAAATAAAATAAGTAAAAACTTTCTCCTGACTCTAGACAGCTGACTCCAATACGGCAAAAACCGTATCAACACCTGGTGTCAAACTAGAGTCCCCTTAGCAAATGTCTCTAACCGGCTAGAACTACGAAGCCATGAAATCGACAGCACGTAGCCCGTGGCTGTTCGTACTGAAAAAAAAACTTCAAAGTTCAAAGTTTTAACGCACTACAGGCACTAGTGGATCAACAGAATGTATCAAAAAATGTATATTATTACGACCACGCTATTAAGCGTCGATCATCAACAGTAGACAAAATTCTACTCACGCCTACGTAGTCCCGCATCCGTTACCGAATAGTCGCTAACACAGCAGCTCCGCCCCTTCTTTATTTGAACAATCCAACGACTGCACTGATCCCCTCTCCATTCCTGTCTACCGAAGGGGTCTACGCTGTGGCAGTTCGCCATTCATTGTGGCCTTTACGGCGCATTGGCACACCGATTCGAAGCGTCGGTATAGCGATCCCAGTGGCACCATGTTGCCGAAAAGCTTCCGAGCTGTTATAAGTGCGGTGCACCAGGCGACCCTATGCCGCCTCGACTGATCCAGCAAGAGAAAGGCTTATTCGAACCATCTCGTGCCGCTGGTAAGGACGAACCGTACCAATATATTTTGGTACAATTCTGTTGATTAACGAACGACTATATCTTTATGTTAGGATTTTTTCGTAGACTGTGTACTGGGAGAAAGTTTTCCTACGATCACATATACTAGAGCGTGCTTTCCCAGTGGATACATAATGTTAACAAACGTGATACATGGTTTTGTGTAAGTGTTCGACTACGGCGAGTTCAAATTTAGACACTGCGACTGAAAGGGCGTCTTGATTTGTATTAAATTGTGAGAAGTCTTGGCTGAATACGTAGTGCTTACTGGTTACTAGAGGAGCTCTGAACAAAGGTGCGCGGATCTGACGCCCTGTGAATTTTCTACGTTTTACATAGGAGAGTAGGACGACTTTAGAAACCAAAAAAACGCGTAGCGAAATGACGCAAGACTAATTTTTTGATCATTATTGTTATTTGGCAAGAACATAAATCGTTCTTGGAATAAGAGTGAAGGTACAATGTGTACAGTCTAGAGTACAACTAAATGTATGAGTGACTCCGGTACAGAAACTCTACGACGTAGACAATCTCAATGATTTTCGGATCGTTAACAATAATATCTCTATGGTAAACGATCATCTGCTCGGATACCGGGGTTGAATATGGTGTACTTCTCCTAGACGATCGCCGATCCTAACACGATAAACGGTAAGGTCTTTTTTTTTCTTCTTTATATAATAGGACTTTCTTGAGTTGATTACTGCTTGAGCAAAAATGCTTTTTTTGTTATACGGACTATTGGACAAGCAGACCCAAGATAACTACATATATGATTCCTAGCCCTCTAACCTACATACACTTTAAGGTAACAGAGTTATCTTGAAAAGCGTATACTATAATATTTTGGAAAATTCAAGACAAAGTAAGCTGCCTTTAAAGTAATTACTGTTGAATAAAGAATGTGACTACTGCCAAGATGGTGAGCTGCTGAAGCGACATCTATCGGAGAAGAAAAGCGACAGATCTTGCAATACGTCCAGCTAGTATTTAAATTTTCTTTTTAATAGCCCAATGTCTTTGTACCAAGCGTTACTCAGCACGAACGCTAAACATTGAACAGCTGGTCTACATATCCTTACATATTCTGATGTCGGTAGTGAACAATCCTCAACTGCGACCTCAATTAAGTAATGCTATTTTGTTATGACTCGGAATAATTAGCTCAATAAATAAATTTCTACGCGCGAATTCTGCAATCAATGAAAGCAAACGGGCGTCGAAAAAGGCCCCATTGGGCCACCCTGATAGATCGACTATTATTAATATGACTGTAGAAACTATCTTGGTGTAAGAACTAAAAGTTAGTGTTTCTTATATCGAGAGAGGAAAAAAATTAACTGCCCGCTGATTATAAGCGATACCGAAGCTGCTCACTAATCGCACGTCCGTTGTCTGTTCCCATAGATTCCCGTACGGCGTACGCTTATATTCCGTTTGCACGCTGCGACAAAATAGACTACAGTTCAATTACTTGAAATGATACGTGAGGCTCGTAACGGCTAACTTTTCACTGACTTTAAAGGGAACGATGGGTAGTCAGCATGCCGACTACCGGCTATAAATATCGTAACTTTTAATACGGCAGTAAGTTACTTCAGCGTATGAATAGATTGCTGGCGTAGGGACAGCAGTGTAGCTAGACGACTGATTGACGTAACAATGATTCTACTCTGTCTCTATTTTCACACGTTGTAGAGAAAGTAGTATCACGTGGTTGCAATTAAAATTATCATTATTGACGTACAACTTTTGCATACGCAATTACGTGCAGATAGAACACCTCATGTTACTCCTCGCATAGTGGATATTGGTTACAATGTATCGAAGGTGCACAGTGAAAGCACCCTCAGCGTTCATTTCGAATGGTTAGCACAGATCGGCTATTGCTATTAGAGAATCGGATTATTATCGAAAGGACTAAATTAATTTTTGGGGCTTATTCTGAAAAAGGCCCAAAATAAATTATGTAGGGGCAAATATTTGCCTGTCTGGAAACGTCAAAGCGTTTTTTTCTGGTCGCTTTACTATACAACGAATCACGATAGCGTTTGAGGATTGCGTTTCAACATCTATCTATTAAACTGAGGACTGTGTTAAACATCCGTTAGCTTCTACTGAAATTCGAAGAGTCATAACGGTCACATAAAACCCATGGGGCTGTTTAATTTCTATGTAACGGTAAACAAACTAATATTACATTTTATAATGCCACTGATCAACTGGCCTGAGCCTCGCTCAAGGTGACAATTTGCTGTTATAGTATTTATTCAATTATAACAGAGTAGTGTTTCCTTTGTGGCAGAAATAACAGAATGACTTGGTAATGATAACGGTATCGTGGTAACAATTGGCATGACACGAAGAAATGTTGTAACTAACAGACTGTAGGGCTAATAGATACAGGGGGTCTGGTCGGGAGCCACCCAAATCAGAGCGTAAATGTCTAGTGCAATCAATAGGTACAAACGTATTCATGGCTTTGATAAATCTGTTTACAGTCGCCGCTTGTCCCCGTCTGAAGCATTGCGAAGGTTCACAGCGTAAAAGCTGCCCTATCAAAGCCCTTTTGTTGAATCGCCCATTATTGATAGTTAAACTTATTGAAGAACGATGGTGGACATTTTTGTTAATATCAACTACGTATACCTATATGCTGTTTATACAGACTGTGCAGCGTATATGCCCATGAAAGTACTACGTTGCAGTGTACTGTATGAGTGTGTAGTTCTATCAGATACGTTCTCATATTATAATTTTCCGTCTGCGTAGAATCGACCTTAAATAGGCGCAGAAGGTACGGGATCACCGAGAACAGACCTAAGTCGACGATAAACTAACGCCAGCGCATCAAGCGTCTCCAATTCAAGTCAGTATTGTCATAACGATGATGATGATGATTTGGTTCCTGTATTATTTATTTAGGTCCTATCTCTGACTAGAATCTATTTTCTATTACTGAAAACGCTCGAATGCCGACCCCGTTTCAGAACACATAGGTTCTGAAAGGATATAATTATAATAAACTGTGTTATGACCGGCTATAACCGTCTCACTGTTTTATTATCTCACAATAGACCCGTTAGATTCATATCAATAGCAGCTGTGTTGGGGGTTCACCTTGCCGCAGGCGATGATTACTAAACTGAGAACGCCTTATTGTATTGGTGATATTGCCTACAATTTGTTGGGGGGAGCCCCCTTGAAAGCAAACTAAAATTATGAAATCTACACTAAGGCGGTTTAATTGGATTATTTGTCATTGAGCTGTTATGCCACTCACGAAACACTTCTATTAGCGTGAGATTATCTTGTTTATATGACAAGATAAGTGTTCAGGCGAACATCTATCCGTTCCCTGATCAAGCGCAAAAAATAAAAAAACGTACATTTTTTCTGGGCCACAGGTAACTATGTGTCCAACTGTATGATCACTGGGGGGCAAATTGGGATCGCTTGAGGCTTCTTCGCTGTGCTTCTTTATAGCACTCGTCAAAGGTCATATCGGCGAATCTAAATGGCCACGTTTTAACATGGCCATTTAGATAGTTGAACGATGCTTGCACCGTTTTTAAGACAGTGCTTAACTGTTTCGCACAAATAGAACAATTTTAAGTGGTCATAAATAAATGCCATGGCTAAATTAACTAAATATATTAATCTATATATTTTTAGAAACGTCTACGGATCCTACTCGGTGTTTTTGCCTCCAGAATACTGTGTATAGGATGATTACCAAGTCGGCCTTTTGAGGCTAAATAGAAAGGTTGGCATTTGACAAGTAGATCAAAATGTATTGCGAATTTTAATTTGTTGCGTGAAAAAAAAAAGAACGCGCTAAGCCTATCTAGTACTTCTATACCATACTCTACTCTACTCTCTATCGTCGACATCTTCCAAGCAGGTTGAGATTATGGAAATCTCGTACTGTCAAAACCTGGAAAATAGTAGTTGTTACAGCAACTAGAATAATTATGCCTATTAGAATTAGTTTACAACTTACGCCTTGCACCTACGCTGCCTCTACAAAGATGACCGCTTTAAAAAAAATTGGATTAAAAGTGAAGAAGGGAAATCTTCTTCCAGAGGAATAAAACTTCTTCGGATCATGCACAAAAAATTCACGTTTTAAAGAGCATGATCATCGGACATGTCGGTCTGCGAGGAGAGAAATACCCACCTGCCGCGTCCAATGCGGAAGATATATTTACAACCAACGGTAGTATTGATACGTATGTACTGCTGCTGCTGCTGCTGTTGGATTGGAAGCTGCTTGGACTTCTCGCAGATGGAAACCGTCTATATATATATATATATATATATATATATATATATATATATCCATAAACCTATCGGCTGTTACGAGGAAGATAGCGCTAGAGGGCTAATGTAGACGAAGGAAGAGTCCGAACTGCGATGAGATTAACAGGGTGTGTCAACAGCCAGAATTCAAAGGAGGCAACAACGAGAAGGGCAAATCGATAGGAACGATAGGCAGAAAATGAGTTTAGCAATGGAGATTAATCGAATGTCCCAGTTAAGTCGTCAGCTGCGTAGAGCGCTAACGATCGTAATGATGAGTCGACATCGGCGAGCAGAGCTTACGCGCGAGTGACGTAGAGATAGCTGGACAGACGTGATTGGCTATACATAGAAACATCAGCAGAGTAGGCAAAAGCAGTGCTGGTGTGAGTAAAAAAAAAAAAAAAAAAACTCAAATCTCGTAGATTTTCCACCAGTATGAGAAAATGATGGACTTGTGTTGGCAGGCTTAAATAAATGTTTCGAGTTCTTAATAGCCCGATAATGGCTTAGTTAAGCATTGCTAGGCCCGGCTCTGAATCTGTTATGTTCTCCTCTGCTTAGATGAAAACTCTACCGCTAAGGATAGCTTCGAACGGCATCAGGTCCAGCGCCTTACAAAACCACTGACCAAAAACGATCCCCAGCCTAAAGCTTATATCATGGACATGATGCATTTACTGTTGCTGTGAGATGTGAGAAGATAAGAGCGGTCGAGGCTTAGCCAGCCTCTATAAATATAATCATGTCATGTGGCTGATAAAGATAGTCATTCGTCGATTGAGCGACTCTTTACAGTTACCCAATGACATAACCACTGAGTGAGTGAATTATCTAGATTTAAGAAAACCTTTCATAGACGGGCGATAATCGATGGAACGGCCAGAAAAGAATTACGAGCGTCTTTCGCTACTTAAGTCATTAACCCAGGAATGTTTCGTGTTTTATGCACAGTATCACCGTTGGCCACTCCATAAAACAATTGTCCCGCAGGGTCAAATGAGGTTAGATTGAACCTTTCATGGGTGCGTTCGGTAAACTAGTAAACTCGTAATAGAATGAAAAAAAACGAGATTTCAGCTGTAGAAGTAAACTTTGAGAGATGTTGCGGTGGTAGCGTTCAGCTGTGTTTGCGCTGATGAAACAAAATAAGTTAGAAGCAAGTGAAATCTAGGGATTGTAGTTTGATTGAAACGTATTAGTGGTTAACCTCTTTAAAAGCCTCAACTACGTTTCAAAAAGATCTTCGTCTGCTATGGTAATACTCTCGTCCGCGTAACCTTAGACTTCGAGTGTCTGGGCCTTGGTACGGGCCTGATTTTGGTAGTACTTCAAACCTGGTTGAAATA